AAAATCCTGGGTCGCAAGTACTCACCTTAATATTTAAAAAAAAAAAAAAATTATATTAATTAATATATAAAAAAAAATTAATACTAAAAAAGCTAAATAAAAAAATCAGAAGTATATAGAACAACATAATATTAAGTTTATTGAAATAATAGTAAGTAAAGAAACTTGTAAAAAAGAATAATAAATAAAAAACTTAATTACAAAAGAAATACAAAAAAACTTTAGTAGTATTTAAACAACAAACAGTATCAAAATATATAAATATAATAATAAAACAGTATGAAATATATTTTATAATTAGATATAAAAAGTTTAATATGAAAAACTACATAAATAAAAAAAAACAACAAAATAAAAAATATATATAAATAAAAAAACAACAAAAAAAATATATATAAATAAAAAAAATTAAAGAAAAAAAAGAAAAGATAAAACAAAAAAAAAATAAAAAAATAAAAAAAAACCAAATAAAGAAAAAAGCTTAAAAGATAATTAATATACTTATTACAAAAAAAAATAAATTCTTTTTGTTATAACTTTAAGTAATTAGACAAATAGTTTATTTTTAATTAAAATAGTATAACAGATTACATATAGATATTATTAGAATGACTAAATAATACTAAACTTAAATATTAAATAATTATATATAATTATGTATATATAATTTTAAAAATCTTAATAAAAATATAATAACTTAGTAAAATGAATAAGTTGTTATCTTCTAAGTAATAAGTTATAAGTTCAAAATCTACTAACAATGAAAATTTAGATTTTTATTTGTATTATAATATTTGTTTTCTAATAATTGAATTAAGCTACCTATAATTATAGTTACATTAATATAATTGGCAAGTTATGAATATCTGTATAACTGGTTATATAAAGAAATACAAATCAATATTAGGTAATATAAACTTAAGATAAGTTTTTATAATTGTATAAATCTGTAAAAACTAGAAAAATAAAAACCTATTTAGAAAAATCCAAACAGAAAGATAATGCAAGTTTTTAATAGTATTATAGTAAAAACTAGACCTAAAAACAAATACTAATATAAAGAAGCTGAATAAACAAGAACCTTTAGATAAGAGATATTATTAACCAGCTCATCAGAATCAGATTATAGACAAAAATATTAGACCAACTTGATACATTAAAGAATAAGCTACAGTTCAACTAAACTATCTAAATTAAGAATTTGAAGACAAAACAAATATATACTAAAGTATTAAAGATATGTTATAAATAATATTAAGATTTAGATAAACTCTGTAAGAGTATAATTCTGTTAAAATCTGTAAAATAAATAGGTAAATTAACAAAAAAACTTCTAAGTCTTATTAACAAATAACAAGCTTCAAAATGTGCAATAATCTGAGTACTAGTATAAAAAAAAATAAAATAATTCTTAATAAAAAACAACATAGAATTGTTTACTTTAAAATAAAATAGTTAAAGTTATATAAATACTAATTAGAAATAAGCCAAAGTGTTTAAATAAGATATCATACAAGTAAAGATTAGGTATGGCAAATAGTAGTAACCTTAGAACAAAACTCTTAAATAAACAATAACTAAAGTTGTACGTGTGGCTAGCTATACTTTCACGAACTAAAAATATACTTAAGGATATAACTAATTAATAAAACCAATTTGGCTAAGTGATTGACCACTTATTAATAATAATAAAAAGAAAAAAAGAATCTTAATAAAGTACTAGCATACCTATTTAAGATTAAAAAAATAAAAATTAAAAAAATTACAACAAATTCTGTCATAGTTTAAAAAAGAAATTATAAAAATACATTTATGATATTTATGTTTTTTGCTAAAATTTAGAGCTAGAATGCAACTATAATCTTAGAATAAAGATTAAATATAAAGACCTAAGTTTAGTTTAGTATAAGGTTTTGAATCCTAAACATTTTTATTTAATATACCTGGCCTTAGTTAATTCGACAGTTTTTAAGATATAGCAACTATGGTGTTAAGCATCCATGGTACATTTTAGTAATGTTGTTTTTAATTAATGTTAATAAAACTGCTCTTTTTCTAAATTAACCGATTTTAAAATTAGATAAAATGTAATAAACTTTTTTTTGTTTTACGTATACAAGTATATAACTTATAAAAAATCTTCAATCTAAAAACTCTTTATATAAAAGATTTATAAATCCCAATTGAAATTTATAATAAAAAGCTTTCGATACAGGAAAATCTCTAAGAAATATTTTAAATATTTTGACAATTTTCTTATATATATCAAGGGTCGGTCATAATTAATAAAACTGCGTATAAAATTTTTTTATAAATTTATATCAATACTATATTTTGTATAGTATAGTAAATTTTTACAAGACATTTCCATCTAGTGATTTTTTAGTTAAAATTCTGTTTCAGTTTTGCTTTGATTTTTGATATTATACCTAATAATCATGAAATTTGATTGAGCTTACAACAGTTCCTGTTTGCCAAGTTAGTTAATTATAAACTTAAATTGAATAATTGATAAAAAGAATTTTTTTCGCATCATGACATTATTACCGAACCAATTGTCAATTAAACAAATAGGAACCTTATGCACGGAGCACATATGCATATAAATGAAAAGATCTATTTATGATCACAATGGAAGAGTAACAAAACTATCCGAGATATGCATATGAGAACATCCTAGATTATCTAGTGCGATTTTCGATTTTCCGGTTGATCTGCTAAGTGGTAAATTCAGGAAAAAAATATGTACATTATATATGTACTCTATTAAAAGGTCACAAATCCCGAGAATCCTGAGAATAGGTAAAAAAAAGAGCTCATATTGACATAAAGCAGCAGTTAAGAATGGCTAAATGATTCGTATAATAAAATTAAATATAACAGCCAGAATGTTTTATTTTTATTTGACAGGCATATGGTTGTAACATTAGTATAAGTTATATAAAAATGGAATTGTAAAATGGAATTATAAAGAGGCTTTGCATAATAAACAAAATTCAATGTGCAGCATATACATAGGTAGTAGGTAGTACTTATGCACGTTTGTACATACGTATATTATACGTAATTTGGCATATTGGCCGAGGCTTGGTCTTTGTTTCGTAACACCTATCTGACCAATCAACGAATGCACGATAGACGCGTTATTTGATAATCTGATTGCTGAGCAATTGATGACTCAATAAATAAGAGACCGGTGAAAAGTGGACGCGTTATTCACTTGTGGCTACACTTTTAAGTGCGGTTCTTATCATTATAATCGATACTTGTAAATATTTTACATGAAAACTTCACAATCGATACTTTACTACTTCATTGTATAATAAAGTCGAATACCTTGGACCACCGGCTGTGAATGCCAAATATTAATCAGCAATTATACAAAAAATATTGCGTCACAAATATAAATGCCTAATGACGATGATGACAAATCATAACTAAACGGCGAGTTATGGTCCTGTAGAATGTATGGCGTATTATTTTGTATTTATTTATTTGATTATCTAAAGGAAGACTTACTATTAGAATTCATCATTCTCTATCAAAAAAGGCGCATTGTTTCATGAAACACGGCCACAAAATGTCTCAGTTCCAGATCCGAATGTTGTAGGAGATTTTTATCAATATCATTTTTAAATACTATCTTTGAAATTTTCAGATTTAATTCGGAAAATTGGCGTAACAAAAGCTTGAATGAAACAAGGATCTTAAAACATTAAACCAAAAAAAGGTTATATCAGGAATGGTATTAAAATAAGTAAATTTGAATTGAGCGCCCTATGCTCTCCACAAGCAATGCCGTCCTAATCACGTTATGTCCTGTTCAAATCGGAAACGATACGCGCAAATCCAGTTTTTTAGCAAATTATGCATAAAAAGGGTCGAAGGATGTCCCAGTTTTTAATCAAAAGATTTTCCCAACATATATGCAGTGTCCAACTTCTAGGACAATCCGATTCTGTCGGATCCTTATCGTCATTTCCTTTATTTACCAAGTTCCGTCGCTATCTTAAACAAGTTAAAACTTTCTTGGAATACGAATTAATTATACCCGTTTGCCACCTGGTATCTCAACAATAAATTAAAAAACAAGCCACAATATTACACAGCAATTGAAAGTACTTTGATCGAGGGACTGCCACTGAATAAGAATCGTCACAAATAAAGAACCTTCTTTCATGGCTCTGGTGAATATTCGGCACTGCCATTCCTACCTACAATAGTGCTATGCACAATTACAAAAAAAGAACGATGGGTGTGGCTGTTAAATCTACGAATCTTGTACAAATTCTCCCACGCGAGACTTTTCCGAGATCAAGATTCACACAGGATTCACACATAAATAAAGATCGTCAATGTCACGACGCTACTGCAAGTCCAGGGCAAAGCCACGTGTTGACTACTCAATAATCACGCCTTATCAGTAAGGTTTTATCTCCGAAATTCCTTGTTGAACGTTTTTGGTTACCTCAAAACTTTTTTTTCATCTCATTTTTATTGTTATTTTGTTAATCTGCTGCGCTTATATCACACCTTTTACTATTTATTACTTTTATTACTTTTATTACTTTATTTATTACTTTTATTACTTTTATTACATGCTCATTTTTATTATATTGTACAACCTTTTTGTAATTTGCACGCGCATTTTATGATTGAATCTATGTTATTGGACGTGTCAAAATACACCAACTGATGTAACCGAATCAGAGGTATATCAAAAATTGGCGATTTTAAAGTATAAATAGTTGATCTGCACTATTTTATGCCCCTTATCTCATTCTTTCATTCGATTTCTTTACAGTTTAGCGACGCGAAACTTTTAAACGCGGTCCACTACAGGCGAGTAACTTTAAACAAGAGTATGTTATCTATCTTTTTGTTTTTTTTCTTTCTTTTTCTTTTTTTTTTTTTTACTCGGTTTGTTTACTTCTATTTTGGTAGCTGACATATCTTTCGATTTAAGGGTATAACGATATAAGAAATTATCACTCATGATTATGCCACCATCAAAGAGAAAAACATTAATGGACGCTATAATTTCTCAAAAATGTCAAAATAAAGAAAATTCTTCAATAATTTCGCCTACCATTACGATATCATCTCCTCCTTCTACTGATTCAATATCTGCCGCCTCGTCAAACGCGAGATCATGTGATGATTCGAGTGAGCCGCAGCAAATACCAGAGATTGCTATGTACAAACGTTCGGATTTACCACCCCCTGATGGAATAACTCAGGAACAGTATCATGAACTTTTGAACAACCGTGGTTGTCAATTTTGTAATAAGTCACGGATCAGAAAGATATACTGGGTATTTCGAGTTCGTTGTTGTGGCCTTTGTTTTAAATCAAAGACAACGAGGTACATTAATTTTCTTACTTTTTAATATTCAATCATTTTTTTCAAACATTTTTCAATCATTGATATCTATCTTAATTTATGTCCAATTGTGATTTATTATATAGAGGCGATTCCATTGCTTCTAGTATTCCTTCTGATTTGATTTGCGCGTTACCATTTCACCAAGAAAAAGGTGTTAAATTTTATTGGTCGTCTATGGTGGACGCATATGTCAAAGAATACGAGTCAATTCCTGTCGAAAATCGTTCAGATTGGTTAAAACAAAAATATGAATTGGTCCGTTTGATTATGGCTGATGTTGATATTCGTACGCAAGCTGATTCCGAAGAACGTAAAGCAATGGTTGAAATCAGAGATCAAAATAGTACTCTCAGAAAAGAGGCAATCGCACAATATCTTAAAGAATTGTTGGATGAAAAGGCTGATGATGGAACTTCAAAGTACTTGGAAAAATACATTCTTGAATGTCCATCATATCAAAATGCTATTCAACAGAGAACCCCATTCACTGAGAAAAAGTGGACATTACTTAAAGGAAAATTATTAAATGAGTACCAAATGGTTTCGGCAAGACAAAAAGGTGAAAACATGGACTCCGTTTCATCTGATTCAGAAATCAATTCGCCGGATATAACAGGTGCCCAACTACCTCAAACGATCGATCATAAATCCAATGAGATGGTTGATTTTAAAAACATGATCGGGTTGTCTGAAACTAATGATGACCAATATTTGATCTCTCAAATTCCTGACCAACCTATTAATAAGTCATGTAACGCTGATATAGGTAAATTTTCTCCATCAATCATGATTGATCAAAAGACAGATGACATATGCATAGAAGGACAGCAACTTTTGGCAACATGTGATATTCAGAATACAGATAGCACGTGCATCGATGTACAACAATCATTGTTGGACCAATACATAGAAGGTGGTTCCCAACAATCAACGTCAGATATAAATACAGACACTACTTGCACTGACGTTTTACTTAATGATGACGATGATTCAGATGTGATATGTCAAGATATTGAGGCCGGATCAAATGAACATTTTAAATGGAGAATGATTCCTTTTTCTCCTGAAACTATGGATATGATTGAGGTCACAAGGGAATCCTGGAAAAAACAGGGTACATTTGAACAGGGTCAGCCATCAATGTTTGAACCCAAAGACTGCGTGTCTAGTCAAATATATGGTCAAATGAACATGTCAGCAGAACAATCATTTTGGTTAAATGATTTATATACGCCTGATCATTACAACAAAATTGAGAATTTAACATCAGATCAGATGGTTTGGCCATCAGAAGGGACATCGCCAATTAAATATGGTATCTCTGATGAATTTCCTTTTACAATGAATCAGAATAATCGTATACAACCGAAACCAAGTAATCAACAACCAACTGCTCCAACAACCCCTGTTTCGTGGTCAGTTATGAATTCAATCACAGAGGTTTCCATACAACAGTCATCGTCGCTGCATTGGAATCGGCAAGAAATTCCATCCTTTGACATATTCCAAGCTGGTAATGTTACTTGTCCCGCACTTTGGCAAGCATGGATTGAGAAACAATTGCAACAAGTACACGCCTCAGAATATTTTACTTCTGATAGAATGCAACAAATCCAACTTTTAAGTCAACAAATGTACATAATTGAGAAGATTAGAGCTCTTCTTCCGCGTCATACGCTATTATTGTTGGAACAAGGAATAACAACCTTGCCAACTATAGCGTCCAATATTACCTTTTCTTCAAATTCACCGTATGCAGGAAACCCTATACACAATAATGAATATTCACAAACAAGATCTGTAATAAATCTTTTGAAGTTTTTACGCTGGTGTCCGTCGTTTTCGGATCCACCAGTTCAATACAATTACCCATACCAACCTTGGGATGAGAGATTTGTTGATGAAGTACTAATACCAATACTATCGACTGAAGCGGTTGTGTTTTTACGAAATCCAGCTCATACGATAAAAGGAGCAGTGTTAAGAGGACTGGCAAATACAGGATTATTTAGATGTAAAATATGTTGGTTTTGGGCTAGAGTGCCTTCTTATAATTATGAATATGTAAGAAAGCACCTGATAGAAGTTCATAAAAGTGAACCTCTAGATGAGTTGATGGAAATATTAGTAGAGTATTTGCCTAATAATCTGGATATTCCTATTGATACCAAGTTATGGTGGGAATTAACTAAGATGAGTGGAAAATTGGACTAACATCTTATATAAAGTTTTTTTGTGTGTTGATTTTCTATGATCAAAATAGTCTAGTCGTTTTGATCATAATATTGACTTTATTAGCAATGGTTTATAAGCACCAAAATCCTTCTATAACCTTGTTTTTTCCTGAACGAGTCTCAAGTGTAGTTACGATTCTTTTGGCGAGATACCAGGTAGAATTTTATGCATGAAATGAAAAAAAAAAAATAAAACCGAAATAAATTCATTATTTTGAGGATGCCAAAATTATTGAAACTGTCAACTTTGAATAATTTCACTTGTTTACTTTTTGTACGCGTGTAGTACGTAATTCGTGTCCGTAAATATGACTTGACTAGTTTGTTCTCCATCCAGTAATTATTTTCTTTGTACACGTAGAGATAGTATCACCTAGAGATGGGCAAGGTAATTACTTATAAGTTAAATCACACTATGCGACAATTTGGAATGTTATTAGTTGTAATTATATAGTTTAGTAAATTGTCGCATAATGTGATTTTATTTTTTATAATTACCTTAGCATCATTGGTAAAGTCAGTGCAAGTCCGGTTTTGGTCCTAAGACTTGCAAGTCTTATCACATGAAAACCTAGGCTTGACTAAATTTAAGTGCTAGTTCCGGAATAGTCATGGATACATTATATAAATAAAATATTAGCACTAAAAATGTAATTTGTTACGTTGCAACTAATTTTATTCTGGATTGAATGGTTATATATATATATATATATCTATTTCACATACGTATTATTAATAGTATCGTATATCAATAATGTTAGTCTTTTTTTTACATATCGGTATTAAAGTTCGGGACCTGTTTTACTTTTCATATGCTAAGACCAGTATTGGACCCTATTTTGGACCTATGAGCCTAGGTCGTAAAATTAAGACAGTATTTAAAAACTAGATCCCAAAATCAGGTTCTAAGTCCAGAAACAAAAGCTTCGCCACTTCCAGCTTATGTATAAATTATTTTTATGTTTTTGAAAAAAGAAAATCCCTTACTGTTCCCTTACTGTTTACAGCTGTTCTTACCGTGAATTCTCGAAATAACGGGCATGGGGCTATTTCGAATATCGTGCCCTCTAAAATAGTATATTTGTTTTTGAAATAATGTCCCGAAACAACACGCACTTTATAATAATTTTACTTATTCTTTATGTTTTTTTTTAGCTTTCACAATAAATACTTGCAGTGAAGAATCTTCACGGATGTCATTTTTATTATGTTAGTCAATAGAGTTTAGAACCGGGTTATAGTAAACCGGGTCAAAAATTTACAACTCAATTCAAACGGTTGAATATGTAACCTCTAAAATTCTGTTACTATTACACTAACCCCCAAGCATAACCACCCAAATCAGTTCCGTAAAAATACAATTTATACCCAGTATTATATGAATTTTCAGGTGATTTTATTATATGAAAATTTTTTATTAAATTAAACAGTTAGAATTTTGCAGTAAGCATAATTGGCCGCGTAAGCGACCGGTTATACTTTACTGCAAAATTTCACTTATATCCAACTACACAGGATATAATTGATTTATTCCCTGCCATCTATGTAACATAACTTTCATGTACTTATTGTAGAGCAAAACCTTTATTTTACGCTTTTGTTTTTTGACATTTAAGATTAAATAGAATAATATTCAATTACCTAAATTAAATAGATATACTGTATTTCTAGTAAAATAAGTACATGAAAAAAGTTACATAAATGGTCAGGGGATAAGTATTTAAATACTGTTTTTTCTTACTAATTTATCTAAATGTCTGAATTCATCAGGGTGACCCTCAAAAGTGTGGGTCACATAAAACTGGTTGAATCGTCTTGATTTATGCAACTAAATAGAAAATTGATTGATGTAACTTTTTTGTAACATCACAATCGTGCTTTTGCTTTAAGGATTTACTTATTTTCCACCGTGATACAAGTCATACATATGCAAATCACATGATAGCGGATCATTAATTTTGAGAGTTGCTATTTTCACCCCCCATTTTTGCTAATGCCACCCCCCAAAATACATAAAAGTGCTCCGGAAGAGATATTATTATTAAGTAAACCTCTTTTTTGGTATTAATTAAAGTTGTTCATTAGACCTTTCCGGTTCTAATGGTGGTAAAATTATTAAAATCAGACCGGTAGTTCTTTTTTAAAAGTAGATTAAAGATTATAAACTTTAGATATAAATATTGCAAGAACCACCGGTCCAAACTTAGTGATTTTACCACCATTAGAACCGGAAAGACCTAATGAACAACTTTAATTAATACCAAAAGGAAGGTTTACTTAATAATAATATCTTTTCCGGAGCACTTTTATGTATTTTGGGGTGGCATTAGCAAAAATGGAGGGTGGAAATAGCAATTCTCTTAATTTTAATTACTAATTATTATTTATATTAGTCAATAAAAAAAAAAGTATACGTATAGTAAAATTTTAAAGAAATTTAACTCAAAGTGAATTTTTATTTTATATAAATTCATTATTTAATACATATAATAAAGATGGCAGAAGAACTTATAAGTGATGAAGAAATGTGTGTAGATAATTTTTTTAATGTGTTCGATCATTTCACAGAAACTCTTTAAGATAATTTGATTCCTGATGATCTTCTTCTGCCTAATGCTACTTTATTTATACGTGAAGGTGTTCAGCATGGTAAAATTTTTTTGGGTACAGAATATGTTGTTCTATTAAATACTGATTTTGAAAAATGGATCCATGATTTTGGTTATAATACTCATACAAGTTATGTACAGGAAAGAACTGAATATAATGTTGGAAATGTTGAATTTTGATACACTTATAAGTGTCATCACTCAGGAAAATATAAAAGCCAAACAGGTCAAAATTCTATAAAAAAAGCAAGAATTATTCAAAAAGATTCAAAAAAAATTGGCTGTGAATCTATGATTATAATTACTAAAACCAAACAAGATCAGCCTCAAATGATTATTAAATATATACCTCATTTGAATCATATTCCAGGTAGTAACAATGATATTGGAACACTTAGACTTTCAAAACAAATTTGAAATTACATTGCACAACGAATGTGTGATGGTTTAAATGTTAAAGCAATTAGTCGATTTTTTAGAAAATGGCATATAATTTAGATAAAATTTGGAATCAACGTAACAATCTAAAAGCAATTCAAATCTGTGATCATCTTATTACTAGTGATGATATATATAATATATAAAAATAAAGAAGATCAAATTTTGCATGAAATTGAAGAAGAAAGTCTTAATTTATAGTATCGTAAGCTTTTAAACAATAATAATTTAACTTGTGCTATAGCTCAATCAAAAAGTAATAACAATGAAGATAAAGGACAACTTTTAGGTTTTATAATTTTAATTACAAAAGAAATAATCTATAAAGCTAATATAGTTTTACTTGATGCAACACACAACATTAATAAAAAAAATGATCAACTTTATACTCTTCTTTTACCTGATTTTAAAACCAGAAAAGGATTACCTCTTGCACATCTTATTTCTTCTTGTAAAAATACTAGATCTATGCAATTTTGGTTATATTGTCTTCGTATTCAATTGTTATGGGAGGGCCTAGTATCTTTTTTAGTTAACTGTGATTCTGCACAGATCAAAGCTCTTCAAAATATTTTTCTAAAAAGTGGAATTTTTTGTGTTGGTGGCATGTTCTTAGAGCCTAGTGAGATAACTTAAAAAAAGTCTATATTGAAAAAGCAAATACAGTATTAAATAATAAATTAAGTACTGAAATAAAAAACAAAATGAAAGAAAAATTATGTGATGATTTAAGAGAATTAATGTATATTGATAATCATAGAAATGTTGATAAAATCTATTAATAATTTTTTAAACAAATGGTCAAGTTTGATATTATTTATTTCATATTTTAAAAAACAATGGTTAAATGAATCAAATAATAATTATGGAATTGACAAAACAATGTGGATTAAGGCATATCAACTAGATGTTCCTCATGATAATCTCAATACTACAAATATGTTAGAATTATTGTATCAGAAGCTTAAATATGATATTTTTGATGGAAAACCTAACTGACATAGAGATGTTCTTATTCATGAATTATATATTAATGGAAATAGTAATGCTCGACAACAATGGAGATTAGCTGAAATTCATGCAAGCAGAATGATGGCAGCAGAATAAGAAATTCAAAAACATAAACAATAAGCACAAAATTTAATTCAAAATATAACTGAAATATTAGTTGGTCGATATTAGATAGTTTCATCTGATACAAATTTAGGAACAAATTATTTAGTTGAAATGAATGCAGGATTTCAAGATCAATTTGAAAAACAATTTATTTGTACTTGTAATGATTTTCAAAGTCAATTACTTTCTTGTAAGCATATTTATGCTATTATATTTCACTATTTTTCAAACAATCAAGCTTTTATACAACAATCACAGCTACAATCATATTTACAATCTCAACAATTACAATCAAAATCTCAATTGCAATTACAATTTAATTCATCACACAAACAGCAACAACTTCTTAATGAAATTCAACAAATGACTGAAAGTTTAATTAATCTTGATACTTATAGTTTACAAATTGTTTGAAACCAGCTATTACAAGTTCTTCAAGAGGTTCAAAGTGTAGATAAATTTTGTGCTGGTAATTGGATTGAAGAAAGTAAAAAAATACAACTTCCTTCGCATATAAACATTAAAAAACAAAGAATATAATATCACATTAAACAATATCATTTTATATACAATACTTATTCTGCTAATATACTAAAAAAGAAAAATTGTATTCAACAATACAAATATAAGTAAAAATTATAATAATAAGAATTTCTAATTATTACGATTTGTATAATGAATAATGTTACTGTTAAATATTGAATTAAATCTGTTTTACATTTGCTAAAATTAAAGTTTTTAACCAGTTATTATATTAAAAAAGTATTAAAGTTCAAATTATTGAATTATGTATTATATTATAAAAAAAAAGAAAAAAAAAGTATATATCCTAAAATCATATATTTTAAACCTTGAATAAATTTTATTATATGAATGATTAAAATGATATCATGATATTTTTTTATATTTTCGATTTTTTTTAATGTAAAACTTCAAGATACTATATAAAAAATTTACAATACTATGTGTTACACAATTTCAAATTAAGTTTGTATCATGGTGAGAAATAAGGATATGCTGTAATTTAAGATATGTCGATACATCAAAAAGTTACAATTGATGTTTGTCGTAATTTTAAATATATGCTAAAACATTTGACTTATGCCATAATTTCAGACATATGTCATAATATTCGACAATGCCAGTTATTGTTATAATGAGTTTTTGTTATAAAAAAGTATCTATTTTAAACTCTTTTGAAATAAATATTCAATATAATGAACCTTTAAATTTTTTATCATGAAATGTGTACTTTATTTAAATGCCAATAAATTATAATATAGTTTGCATTTATTACATTAAATATTACATTAAATATTATATTAAATATTATATTAAATGCAGTAATTATTTAATTTCTAATTTAATACTTAAAAACAGTATTGATAAGATCCTTAGTACTAGAATCTGCAATATTAGTAGTAGAAAATTTAAATGGCATAGATCTTTTAAAATTATATTAGAAAGAATGAATATGTTTTTTTCATATACTTTATCATTATTTATGGTTTTATTTTTTTATATCTGATAAAATTGTTTTATATTTTGTTAAAAATAAGTTTACCTTATTAATTTATTTTTTTAAAATTGATTATTGTTAGTTTTGAAGTAGCAGCAATACAAGATTCTGATTACATACAATTATTAAAATTCACATTGTTATTAAAAACATAAACCTAAGGCATATTGTGATTTATATAATTTATTTATATTTATTAATTTGTTGGTTTTTATTTTAAAATACAAAACAATTTTGATTTTTTTTTATATTATTTATTAATTTCATTTTTAATAAAGTTAACTTAAGTTTATTAAGTTAAATTATGTATATTATATTTAAATTACATATATATAATACATTAAATTATATATATTATATTTTATATTATGTTCATAATTACAATTATAAATTTTTATTTTTATTTTTTTTTGCTTACACTAAGGTCATAGTTATTGGTAGTTATTGCCTTTATTGTATTTAATTATAATTGCTTAACTTGTACAAGGTGAGTATACAACTAGCTATATATACAACTTTTAGTTGTCTATTTTAAGTAGTTCATCTGCACAGCAGGTTCTACACTAGCTGTTATATCTGCAATCTACTAGGAGATTACCTATTTAAACACTTTGATCTCTATACTTACATCAACAAATAGCACACAAGTTCCTGTACACCTAAGTGCTATCTAACCTAACTGTAACCTTCCTGTCTGTACATCCATTAAGCTGTTACACATTTTAGAGTACGTCATCTGACTATAAGGCTTCAGAGGGTCTCTCTGCTAACTAACTACCCATATTTAGTATCTTGTTAACAGGGCTCATCTTTGCAAAGTTTACCTAGACCTTAGCATCAACTTCATAGTATATCTTTAGTATTTATAGTATATCCCTGTTTCTGATCTCAGACTCCTAATCCAGATAGCCTAGTAAGACTATAACCTGTTCTTGGTACTCCAAGGTCTGCCTTTCAAAGTTCTTTTCCTCTAGTTTGAGACTTTCAGCAGCCTGGTTGGTGGTACCTCTCACTCAAGCTTCTTGCCCACCTGATTTCTTTCATATTGATATTTATTTTCTAGATCTAGCCTTTACATTAGTACTATCAAAGATCTGTACTATCTTTCAACTCAGTCTTTCCAAGTGGGCTTCAGTTTCCTAGTTCATAAATTTACATGACCACAAGAACTTATCTTGGGTTTGCACTACCCGATGCTAGTTTGCATTTTTCTGTATAACTTTAATATTGCACAAATGCCCTATGAACTGCCAGTTATCTGGTGCAACCATGTTACAAATACTGATCCCAACTGATCGATAGAATGCTATTGCCATAATACCACTTATTTTCCATAATACCAATATAATATAAGTGGTTTTCCAAATTTTCACTATTAGTAGGTTTTGAACTTCCAATCTACCACTTAGAGGGTTGACAACTTAACCACTTCACTAAGTTGCCACACTCCTATAATTATAATTATAATTAAAAACTTAGTTATAATAAATATTAATTATTATTTTTTTTGATTTAAAGTCTTTGTTTTTAAAAATTAATGTTTTTATTTAAGTTATATAAACACAAAATGCTTTTAGAAGTTTCTTTATATAGAAAATTACAACTAATTACATATGTTTCTTTGATGTTTGTTTTTTTTTCAATATTAAAGTAACCTCTTTAGTCATAGCTTTTTATTAATATTTACATTGGATATATGTTTTATACAAATGTATCTATATTGAACTATTAAATGAGTGTACAACTGGCTATATATGTAACTTTTCTATATTACCTATTTAAGGAGTCCACCTAAAGGTTTCCTACCAGTTGTTATACCTAACACCTCTACTTAGATGTTTTATTTAAACTTTCTGATCTAATCCTAGTATTAATTTCACTAGGTTACTGATCCAGATCTGTTTGCATTTAACTATAAGACTATAATCTTTAGACTATTTTTATCCTTAAGGCAAACCTACCAGAGTGAGCCATATTCTCTTTTATTGCTAACCTGGTTTAAAGCTATAGCTGAGACCAACACTTGCAGTTAGGGTTATCTCTTAAACTGCTATTACCCTTATAAAGTTCATCCAAACCCTGGTACTCATCTTTCCAACTTCTTCTTTATCATCCCCTACTAGTTGCAACTTGGAACTAATCATCTCTTCAAACTTTCAATTCAGATAGCCCAGTATAGTATACTTATGTATCCTTTTCCTTTAGTGATTTCAGTAGCCTGGTTGGTCATATGCTCCTCTACACATTTTGTTATTTAGTTTATTTGACAGTTCTTATAAAGGTGTTTCATAAGCTTCTATTGGTCCAATAGCATCATCAAAAGTTTGTGCTACTTCTTTATTCAGAATTTCCAAATAGGTTTCTGTCTTCTTAGTTTCTTAGCCTTTTATGCCCAGTGGTCTTATTACAGGTTTGCACCAAAGCCTTATATGACATCAGTTTTTCACATTTCTTTATGTATATGTAATATTACACTTCATATAGATGCCCAAGCTTCCAAAGTCAGGTAGAGCCCAACTTGGTGTATCTAAGATTACAGATGCCCAAAACTCAACTGATTAGCAGAGATAGTTACTGTAATACAGATATAATTTCTAAAATTCATTGTCTATGAGAATTGAACCTTAGATCTGCTACTTGAGAGTTGACAATCTATCCACTTCACTAAGTTGTCATACCCTTTATCTTTGATGTTTAATTTAAGTAGTTTATCTATATATTACTATATAAGTTTTATATTAGATATCATATTTGCAAGTTAATTACAAATCTTATTTATTTAAACTCTTTGTATATGCAGTTTATCTTATATTATAAAGATATTTTTAGAATTAAACCTATTCAAAGTACCTAATATATATTTTACTTTATTTTTTTATTATTATTAACTTGATGTTTATAATAGCTAATATTTTTATTTTTATTTTTATTTTTATTTTTTTTGCTCTTAAGCAGCCACACTAGTACTTTATTAAGATTCTTGCAACTATATACAATAACTATATAGAATTT